TGAGTCAGAGGCAACTCAACAGCACATGACGACAACAACACAACAACTACTTGTCCTTCTCTTGTTTTGTGTGAACCCTCCTACTTGGCCACATCCTGTTGTGGGACTTCGTTGTCTTTCTGTCTAATGAGTTCTCACAGTGGTGTTACTTAATGGAAAATGTTGAGTACCATCAGCTGGCACTGACTCATAGCTGGGCCTCTCGTGGGTTTTCAGAAGCAATAAATCACACAAGAGGAGATTGTCCATCTTTTTCTTAAGAAGCAGCTGGTGGATTCAAACCATGTGCCTTGGGTGGACAGTACAGTTCCTTACCACTAGGCCACTAGGGCTCTCTCAGTGGGAAATAGAAGGCAATGTCCGCAGGGAAGGCAGGAGAAAAACCAGGAAGTATTGAGTCCTGGGTTTAAGATAGTTGTGGGTTACTCTAGAAGCCTGTGAGAAGAAGTCTGCTGCCTGAGACCCTTCACCAAGTGTGTGTTAGAAGTTGATCTTTTAATTTTCTGCTACATCTCTAGTAGGCCACTGGTGGCCGAGTGGGTAAGGAGCTGTACTGTCAACCCAAAGGCAGGTAGATCAAATCTACCAGCTACTCCACAGGAGAAAGATAGTCTTCTCTCATGCCATTCACTGCCTCTGAAAACCTGCTGGAGGTTCACCTGTGGATTGATTCCACCTCAGTAGTAGCGAACAGCAGTAGGTATTTGTGAACTAGTTCTTTTGTTTCCAGGTCAAGCTCTCCTCACCCCTACTTTCCCCCCTTTTCCTCCCTTCTTCCTTGTTTGCCTTTGACTATTGGATTCTTCCTGGAACACCCTGTCTGCCCTGATTTCCTTACCCTCTGGTATCTATTGATAATGGACACCTGCCTTCCGAGATACAGATGGAGGCTGTATCAGGCTGTATCTTTAGGACAAAGGGCAAAACCTGTCCTACTGGCTTTTCCGTGGGTGGACCCTCCTTGCTTTGGTTAGACGATATCACTGTTCCATTTTTGATGGCTCTGATGAAATTACTGATCTTTGTTGCCTTTTAGGGAAAACTAACAGCCAGAGAGCGGATCAGTCTCTTGCTGGACCCTGGAAGCTTTGTTGAGAGCGACATGTTTGTGGAGCACAGATGTGCTGATTTTGGAATGGCCGCGGATAAGAATAAGGTATCTGCACACACTTTTATCTTGCGGTTGTGGCAATCTATCCACTGACAGAACCTCTTTTCTCTAAAGTCCTTTTGGGACTCGGGATACATTCAAAATTGGTCAAGTTTAGGATCTGGAAATCACAGAAGCTCTGGAGAAGCACTCGTGGTGTCTACCTGACATCCCATCTTTGTTTATAGATAAAGGAGATTGGGTGGGCTGCTCGTACGCTGTGCTGTGTGTCCCTGGCCCTCCTCCCCGGCTCAGGGTTCAGAGCTCTTGTTGACACAGAAAGATAGATTTGGAAGGAAGAACCTTTGTGTTGGTTTGCGCAAACACTAGGTTACCTGTCTCCTCCTTTGACATACTTTAAATTTATGCCTTGGGGTTTTTGGAGTCAGAGTCACCAACACTGCTTCTTTCTTTCAGAGCACTCTCCAACTGTGGGACTTACTTTTCTCCAGATCTGCGTATGGGCTGTTTGTGATCAGAGATTTGTAAACTTGGTACCAAAGCAGTCAGCTCAGTTTGATCCTTTATGGACCACGCAATAATTGCTAAGATTCAATGCAAAGTGATAATTTTTGGTTTTAGGCTTTGGGGAGGAGGTGTGGCTTTGTAGAACTTGCCATGCCTCTTTGTATGTCCTTCTGTTGGGAGTTGGAGAGCTGTTATGTAATTCGGGGCAAAAACACAGGGAAGAAGTGTTTAAATCATAAAGTGCCTTACAGCTTCAGCTGGAGCCCTGCCAGACAAGCTATTAGTGTACAGACTGAGCCTGTGTAACTAAAGGCCTCTGGTGGAGGGCACAGGGTAGTCATTTATATGGAAGCCTCCAGCACCTCAGAGCTGACATGTGCAGTAAGAATTATCTCCAGGCAACCTAATTAGTATCCAAGCAAGCAGAGCCCTACCATGCAATTAGTGAAGTCACAAACAAGAGAGCAGAGCAGAAACCTCTAGCAACACCATTCCATGGGCCCAGACACCATTCAGCTGTGTTGCAGAAAGCCCACTCCAGGAAGAAGCAGACTGCCTGTATAAGCACCTAACTAAGCCCTTGTAGAAGCAATCTTGGTTATAGGGGGAAGGCCGAGTCTGACTTCTACCCCTTCTTAAAGGAGAACTGTCCCCATCAATAATATCCACAGTACTAGACAAATAGCAACATGGTCAGATAAGCCACCCCAAATGCTCCTGCACCTATTTCTACCAATCATTGTGGCCAATGCTTGTTGCAGTATTCATAGACTTTAATCACACTTGTGGGGTTTATTAGAGAAATTGGGTGGGGAGTGAGAAAGGCAAAGAATATCACACAGTGCAAGTCCAGGAGTTCCAAGCCAGATTAACAAGGCACAGTTCCTCAGTGAAAGTTCATGTTCAGTTCTGCAGCACAGTTGCATCTCTGGTTCCCTCAGTCATTCAGCAGACTTTATCTCAGAGCCCTTACAAATCAGCTTTTCCTCCTATCATCAAGCAAGCAAAGCCTTTAACTGTGGCTCCATCTCTAGGGTTCCTCTGGTTACACCTTGCCACAGTTTCTTCTTAGCAATGCCACAGTCTCTTCACCTCTCCACCACCATCTTTCACAGTGTGGAAAGAACTCTCCTACATTGGTCCTACAGCTATTGATGATTTGTAACACCGTGCCCCGAACAGGGGCTAACACAGTGGATAGAAGAGTCAATTTTGAAAGTAATTTACTGACACATCACATAGTCTATAATCCTTGCATCCTTTTTCATTTTGTGGATGACAGCCTATTCCTTTCTCTGGGACATACTGTCACTAATAAAGTGCTTCTACTTTTACCTTCACACCTGTCTCCTTGCCTTCTTTCTCAGCAGGTGTGATGTCTCTGACCTTGGCCACTGCTTACTGTAACATCAAGAAGTGGCTCTTCAAAGAGCCACTAAAATTGTTGTGGGAGCTCTATGCCACTGAGACTTTGACCTCCTTCTTGTCTCCCACTTGCTTTAATTCTTTGACTGGGGAAGGGAGACCAGATTCAGGGCACTTACTGCACAGTAACGTTTTGGTGCTGAGACCCAGGAGCACAAATTATGTGTGTATGTGTGATCTGTGTTGAACTTGGTAACATTTTGGTCCCAAAACCTGGGATATGATTTTCCCATTGAGTTGTTGTTGTGTTGTTATTGTTAGGTGCCATTGAGTCCAGTATGAGTCCAACAATCCCATGAACAACCAATCTGAACCCTGTCCTATCCTCACAATTCCTGACACTCAAACCCTTTGCTGCCATCACGGTTTCAGTCCACCTGGTTGAAAGGTCTTTCTGTTTTTCGTTTATACTTCATCTTCCCAAGCAAGATGTCCTTTTCCAATTAATAACTTCACAGCATGCCCAAAGTATGTGAGACAAAGCTTCATCATCTTTGCCTCCAGGGAGCACTCTCACTGCACCTTCTCCAAGACGTATCTGTTTGTTCTTTTGACAGTTCATGGGTTCTTCCATACTCTTCTCCAACATCACAGTTCAGAGGCATCATTTTTTCTGTCCTCCTTACACATTGTCCAGCTCTCAGATGCATAGCAAGTGACTGAAGTGAGTGGACTCAGATGCTCTTTTGTCCTCAAACTGACATCATAACTCCTCAGCAACTCGGAGGGGAACAGTGCAATATGTCTCCTGATCTCCTGACTGCTGGAACCAACTGTATTTATTGTGGATCTAAATAGGATGAAATTGTTGACAGTCTCAGTCTTTTCTCTGTCCATCATGGTGTTGCTTATAGGTCCTGTGGTGAGGATTTTTGTCTTCTTGATGTTGAGATGCAATCCATATGGAAGACTACAGTGTTTAACCCTCCGCAGCCAGTGCTTAACTTCTCCTTTCTGTCAGCAAGCAAACTTGTGTCTTCTTCATAACGAAGGATATTGATGAGTCTTCTTCCAATCCTGATGCCACAGTTTTCTTCATAAATTCCAGCTTCTTGAATATTTTGCTCAGCATACAGATTAAATAAGTATGGGGAAATGATACAAACCTGATGCACACCTTTCCTAATTTTAAGCCATACAGTGTTCCCTTGCTCTGTTCACACTTGGTCTTGGTGTAGGTTTTTCACAATCAAGTGTTTTAGAATTCCCATTCTTATTTGCTTTATGTGCTATCAAGTCACCTGCAACTCATAGCGATCCTATGTGCAGCAGCTCTGGACCTTGTCCTATTCTGAGTCATCCTCACTGTCTACCCACACACCTATGCTCATAACCCTAGTTACCTGTCACCCTATCTCATCCAGGGTCTTCATCTCTTATGCTGTCTCTCTACCCTTCCAAGTATGATACCCTTCTCCAAGGATTGTTCCCTCCAAAGATTGGTCCTTCCTGTCCTTCTGCCCAAAGAACATGAGATAGAGCTTCAAAAATCCTTGCCTTCAAGGAACAACTTGATTTTGCTCTCTCCAGGACAGAACTTTTTGTTCACTTGGCAGTCCATGGAATGTTCAACACTCCTCTCCAGCACCTTTAACTTAAAGGCATTGATCCTTCTTCAGTCATTCTTAGTCATTATCCAGGTCTCTGGTGCATAACAAGTAATTGCAAAGGCCCTGGCACCTTAGTCTTCCAGACTGACATTGTGGCTTTTTAGCACTCTGGAGAGGTTCCTGACAGCAAATTTCCCTAATGCAATTCATTTTTTTTATTTCGTGACTGCTGGTACCAAGAATGTTGATTGTGGAGCCAAGCAAGCTGAAATTGTTAACAATCTCAGTTTCCTCTCCATCTATCATAGTGCTGCCAGCTGACCCAGTAGTGATAGTCTTTGTCTTCTTGATGTTGAGCTTCAGTCTATATTGAAGACTGCATTAGCCATACTTTGGTTAGGAGAGCCCACTAGACTAAGACCAGTGGATTGTTTTGGTAACACAGTGGCACTTCTCTTTCCCTGAAGTATTTGATGGTGATGGCCATTGGATGGGGGATGGGGAGAGTAGTTCTTTTTTTTTTAATTATTGTGTGTGTACCATCAAATAGAATCTGACTGGTACAGGAGGAGATTGCCCCTCCTTCTCCGGCAGAGCATCTGGTGGATTTGAACCACCTATCTCTGGGATTTCAGTGCAGCCTCTTTGCCACTAGGCCACCAGAGCTCTCTCAGTGGTTCTTAACTTTAATTCTTAAAAGAAGAACAAGGCCTTAGACAACAGTGCCTCCCACTCCTATTGTTGAAACCGTATTCGTATTCTTCTGCTTGCTGTTGCAGAACTTGAGGAAGGATTCTTGCTTGTTCCTTGTTCTTTTTATATTTTAAGGAATTTGAGATTTTCCTCCAATTTTTTGTTTTGATTTTTGAGTGATTGTAATAGCTGAGCTAATGATAAGAAATGGTTGCATTTTTTAAAACTTTGTTTTTTCTCTTTTCTCTCCCTGGTAGTTTCCTGGAGACAGTGTGGTGACTGGACGGGGCCGAATCAATGGAAGATTGGTTTACGTCTTCAGTCAGGTATTTCCAGAGCATCTGGTGGATTCAAAACCGTGTACCTCTGGATTGCAGTGCAGTTTCTTATCACGAGGCCACCAGAACTCCCCAGTGGTAGCTTTCCTCACTAACCTGTCATACCTGTTTATCAGCATGCACAAGCAGTTTTAGCATCTTAACACACCACAAATGTATTATTTTATAGTTCTGTGGTTTAGAAGTTTAAGACAAGAAGCCAAAACAAGCACAATTAGGAGGAAAACAAAATTCAAAGTTTTTAGGCGGGAGGTTATCAAAGCTTAATACAGCAGTACTCATGTCAAGCTGGAAATCTCAGGGTGCTCCCCTAGTCCCCAGAACCTGTGAACGTGTGACCTAATCTGGTCAAGGGGAAGGAAGCTAGCTAATCCGCCGACAGTTAACATAGGTGAGATTTTCATGGAATATCTGGGTGAGCCCAGTGAAATTGCTGCTACTTTAGTTTTCAGAAGAAGCAGTTGACTCGTGTGACCCTGCACAGAGTAGAGCTGTGATGTAATCACACGGTTTCATGAAAATGGAAGAAGGAAGCAGAAGGGGCCCAAATGATGTGATTTAAGAAGAACTTGACCCACCATGGCTGACTTTGAAAGATGGAGGAAAGAAGTCTGGAACCAAAGGATTCAGACAGTCTCTAGAAAGAACGCTTGGTCCAGTAAAACAGGTGCAGAACTTCTAAACCACACAAGAAAACAACACATTTGTGTTGTGTTAAGACGCTAAATTTGTAGTAATTTGTAGCAGTACAAAACTAACATTCAGGATATGTTGTATACAATTTTGAGTTTCATTCCCCTCCTCTTGTAAGATGGGACTATGTAACTATTTAGTCGATTTTATAACCTATATTTATGTAGCTTGACTTGTCACAGAAAATGTTTTCTGAGTTTGATATTAAAATAGGGAGGGGTGTTTAGCAAGTTTTCATTCTTTTTTTTTCTACATTCAGACAGTTCTTAGTAACTTATTTTACCTTTTTTAAATATTTTTTAATTTTTTTAATTTTACCTTTTGAGATATTTAAAAACTATCATAAATTAATCTACCCCATGCTGGACTAGAAAAAAAAATCATCACAATTCTTGGCTTTTGCAGTTTGTGAGAACTGGGTTAAAACCATGACCTCTGGTGGCACTGTGGTTAAAGTCTTTGTCTGCGGTTTGGACCCACCCACCACTCCACAGAAAAAAGACATGGCAATCTCCTGTAAATATTAGAGAAATTTGGACATTTTTTTTAAATTTTAATTTTTATTACTTTTTATGTGTGTACCGTGAAATCGGATCTGACTGTTACAGGAGGAGATTGTCCCTCCTTCTTCAGCAGAGCATCTGGTGGATTTGAACTGCATACCTCTGGGGTTGCAGTGCAGCTTCTTGCCTCTAGGCCACCAGAGCTCGCCAAATTTGGACATTCTAAGGAGCACTTCTGCTCTGTCTTGCAGGGTTACTGTGGGTCAGAAGCAAGTTGATGCCTATGTGTTTTGGGGCTTAAAACAAAAATTATCATAAAGATGGAAGGACATTTTTGTGTTATCGGTATTCAGCAGTTCTCCTAACTATTAAGGAGATTAAAAAAGATTCATGAAACCTTTAAGCCGTTTTTATGCCTGTGGGTAAGGTGAGGAGGAGATGGAGATGACTGAGATAGTGTTCTTGTCCTGAAAAAGCTAATCATGATGGAAGGAGTATAGGTCAGAACCCAGCCAACTACAGACAGGGCAGGGGGGATTCCAGGCAAATGCTGAGATCTTAAGAGAAAAGATCATATTGAGGGTTGAGGAAGAGTTAGGGGAAACGGAGCATTAGAAATAGACCCTGAAAGATAATGGGATTGGAGAGTGATGAACCATATTTTATAGTGGTCCTCAAAATACCAGTATTCGTAAGTGCTTTTTGGGAAGAGGTTCAGTTTTTCCAGAGAACAATTCTTCATCTCTTTCCTGATAACTTGGTGTGTTAGGCAAAGCTGAGCTTTTGTGAGGGAGAGACAGGGAAAGTCCTAAAGTCCTAGCCTCTCCATTTCAGCCTCATCTTTGACTTTCTTTAGGGCTGTGATTGTGAGCCCAGAGCTCCTCTGTTTTAATGTCTTTAGAAAGTAAACCTTTCTCCCTGTGTGTGTTTTGGGATATGGGAGTGGGTGTTGGTGGTGGTGGTGAGGTCTGACTGCTCCTAAATAGACTTTCTGTTGATGTGTGCTCAGCCAGCCCTCCCCTCCACTCCCCTCCCCAACCTGGTTCCAGGGTTCTCTCTCATGTTCATCCTTCTCTCCTTATGTATGTGGGCTTTAATCTTCTCTCAGTCTGCTATTGCTTTGTCTGGTGCTTTCAGTTCCCCTGTTCAACCTCTCCTCTTTGCCCTCCCTTCCTGGTCTTGAGGCTTGGTTCTGTGTTTAATTCCCACAGGCTTTTTTGAGGGGTTTAGGAAGGAGGTCTCATCCACAAAAAGTCCTTTACATCAGAAGGTAATGGATGTCTACAAGCAGAGGGAGCCCGGGCTGCACTGATTCATCTTCTCCCTTCTCTGTCAAAACAGTACATAGTTCTATTAAGAGAAATGCCTGTTTGACATGCTTAGAATCTAATATTAGGTTGAAGTCTGCAGGAATAGTTTTCCTTTCCAGAGCTACAAGTTTGTTTCCTTCCTTCCTTCTTTCCTTCCTCCCCCCCTCCCTCCCTCTCTCCCTCTCTCCTTCCCTCCCTTTCTCCCTTTCTTTCATTAAGTAATAAGATACGACTCCCTTTAGGAGATTTGATTCACTATTTCATGGAATAATTTATGGATCTGATTTGGTTTTAACCTGAAAAGCCTTCATTTCTGCCCAGTCACTGCATTTATTTGTCGGTTTTATCATGCTTTCTTGTAGGATTTTACCGTGTTTGGAGGGAGCCTGTCAGGAGCACATGCCCAAAAGATCTGCAAAGTAAGTGGTCTTCATGTAGCTGAACTGCTCCCTAAATGTGGCCGCCAAACGCCTCCAGTGCACTTCTTAAATGAGGGTTCTTCCTCCTAATAAGTACAAATATAGCAAAATCCATGCTTCGCTATGTAAGCCAAAAAAGAAGTTGATTAGGGAGCTGTGATGGCTGGCTTAGTGGTAAGGAGTTGTGTTACCAAAGTAAAGATACAGAATTCGAATCCACCAGCTGATCCTTGGGAGAAAGGTGGTCAGTGTCCTCCTGTATGATTGACTGTCTCTGAAAATCTGTTGGACGGTCAGCTATGGATCGGTTCCGACTCCATGATACTCAACAACAACCTTGCAAAGGGAGACACGGAAGTACTAGTTGCTGCAAACCCATGAGTCCTTCAACAGAGGAAGAGGAGGGGGCTCTAGAGGTGGGCAAAGGATATCATGGTTTTTCATGGGAGGGTTGAACTTTTAAAGTTAGGTATCATGGCTATTCATGACAGGGTTCAATTTTAAGGGTTAGGTATCATGCTTATTCATGACAGGGTTGATTTTTTTTTTAATTTTATTGTATTATTTTTTATGTGTACCGTCAAATCAGATCTGACTGGTACAGGAGGAGATTGTCCCTCCTTCCTCGACAGAGCATCTGGTGGCTTTGAACTGCGTACCTCTGGGATTGCAGTGCAGTGTCTTGCCACTAGGCCACCAGAGCTCCCTATGAATTTTTAAGCCTTAAGCTACCAAAAAGATAAAGAATACATTTATTCATGAAAGGAGGAGGGGCTCTTATGAGATTGGCCCACGGGGGAGGGGTTAGGATGATTTAGCCATGCCCAGCTCTACGTTCAAGATGACGGCCACCGGAAGTCCTTCCTGGGTCTTGGGGGCAGTATGTGTAGATGAGCAGTATGGTCAAGCATATACATGATCCAGTTACACGTGCATGTGGTTTGAATATGACCATCTCCAGATGAGGTTCTTGGTCCTCACCCAACATGCCATTCATTCATTTCAAGGTGGCTGCTCTCCAGAAGGTCGTGCAGTCATCACTCACAACTCACAGGGCACCTGAACTCTCTTAGCAGGGTTAAAGGTTAAGAGTGAACACCTGGAGGTGTCTGGGCTTCTCCTTCAGGGTGTGTTCTTGGGTCCTTTTTTTGTGTGTGTGTGTACCGTCAAATCAGATCTGACTGGTACAGGAGGAGATTGTCCCTCCTTCTCCAGCAGAGCATGTAGTGGATTCGAACCACATACCTCTGGGATTGCAGTGCAGCTTCTTGCCACTAGGCCACCAGAGCTCCCCTGTTCTTGGGTCTCTTAATGCCTGCATAAGCTAATTGTTGGCCTTCCCAATCTGAGCTGTCACAAGAGAAAATAATTCAGCACATCATGTAAAGAGGGAAAGGAGATGGAGAAATACAAAAGTCTGTGATTCAACACAAACGTAGCAGTAACCCACTACAGTTTCAAATAGTTAAAATGACCTTGATACAAGGTCAGAAGGTCCTGTTATTATGTCAATTGAAGGAAGTGATGCCCAGCAATAGATTGCAGAATAAAGGACGTAAACTTGATAAGGAGGCTCTCCTCAAAACTGTCTGCCTAGAAATAAAGGACCTTTCCCCTAAAATACTTTTAGTTGCTTTCTTGCTTGTTGTAATAGTTGTTGTAGTTGTTAGGTGCCACCTGATTGAGTTGAGTATGACTCCCAGCGACCTTTCTATGAACAGTAGATCTGAACCCTGTCCCGTGCCATCCTCATCATCCTTGACACACTTGAGCCCATTGCTGCATTCGCTGTGTCAGTCCATCTCATTGAGGGTCTTCCTCTCTTTGGCCGACCCTCCGCTTTCCCAAGCTTGATATCCCTCTCCTAGCAACATGCCCCAAAGTATGTGAGCTAAAGCTTTATCATCCTTGCCTCCAAGTTCAATTTATAAATTTGGCTTGCAAAAAAAAAAGCAAAACCCAAAATAACTAGCATCGCTGTTCAGCTGGCACTGACTCTAAGCTGACTCTCCAGGGGGTTTTCAGGAGGCTGTGAATCACAAGGAAGGTGATTGCCCGTTTTTTTCTTCTCCGGAGCCGCTGGTGGATTTGAACTGCCGGAGAGGCTCTGTCTTTGAGTGAGCAGCACAATTACCTATCAGCGAGACCACTAGAGACTAATAATAAAAGAGAACTAATTAGAAAGTAAAAATTGTGGCAGTATACTGTTTTATGTGATAGGAAATGAGGTGGCTTACGTGGGCATTATGAAATGACATTTAGACTACAGTTTTGGACTGTATTGACCTCAGGTAGCTTGAACTTTAGAAAGAGAAATTGCAGGAAGCTCTGGTGGCCTAGTGGCAAGAAGCTGCACTGCAATCCCAGAGGTACGCACTTTGAATCCACCAGATGCTCTGCTGGAGATGGAGGGACAATCTCTTCCTGTACCAATCAGATCTGAATTGATGGTACATGCAAAAAAAACAAATAGGGAAATTATAACTTTGGGGGGAATGGGGATGACACACACTGTATCTTGAATATATCTAGTCACAGCATGCATATTAAGTGTCCTTTGGGGATCTAAGATACTGAATTGGGTACTTGTAGTAGGGCAGAGCTGAGCAAGAGGAGGTGCTAAAGAGGTGGATCCCTGTTCTGTTCTCAGGTATGTCAAGAGGTGGGGTACCTAGCCTGAGGTAGAGTTTTGGCTGGCCCAAGAGGAGTCTGGGTCAGCCTGCCTGCCTACAGGTGGTGTTTTTGCTTGTCCAAAAGATAATTGTGGCACAGTGCCCAGTCAGAAATGGCTCATGTAGAGAGACCGTCACTATCAAACTGACATGTCCATGTGTGTCCCTACGTGGCCATTAGAGTTTGCTGGGTAAGAGTTCGCTGTAAAGGGTAAAGGTTCCAGTCAGAGGAAGTGCCCCCCGCTAATTCAGGTGCTAATGGCTGGCTAGGTGTGGCACAGTGCACAAGCTCTCAGGGAGGAAGAATAATGCGGCATCAGGATTGGAGGAAAGCTCCTCAATGACCTACATTGCTGTAGTCTTGCATGCAAAAAGTGAAGAGGATGTGAAGCCCTTGCTGCAGCAGTTCAATGGCTACAGCCTTCAATATGAGTTATATCTCAACATCAAGAAAACAAAAATCCTCACCTCTGAACCAATATGCTTCATACTACATAGAGAAAAAAAGGTTAAAGGTGTTAGTGATTTAGTTTGTTCGGATCTACAACCAAAACCCATGGCAACAGTGTTCAAGAACTCAGAGAACGTGTTGCTTGGGGGGAAAAAAATCTCGCTGATTTTCTGACTATCTGCTGTGAAAGATCTCTCCAGAGTACTCCAGAGTAATTCTATCAGTTTAAAGATTTAGGTGTGCCTGATCTGAAGCCATGGTGTTTTCAGTTGCTCACTATTCATTGGAAGTTAGACAATATGAAGGAGAGAAGAATTATTGATGTCTTTGGATTGGATTGTGCTGTTGGAGAAGAGTGCTAACTATCATATGACTGTCAAAAGAGGAAAATAACATGGTCATAGAAGACGTGCAACTAGGTGGCTCCTTAGATGCAAAGATGAGGACATTTCATTTCACATGCTTTGGGCATGTTTTCTGGAGGGGCTATCACTTGGAAAAAAAACATTATGCTGGAAAAGGTAGGGAATCGAAGACCCTCAGTGTGATGACCTGATACAGTGACTGTAACAATGAGCCGCAGTGATCAGAGGTTGTGGATGCTGCAGACCAAGGATAAAGGAATTATGTAATTATTAATAATGAGACAGCCAGCCAGGAATGGAGATAGAGCAGAGAGCATAAAACAGGGGGCCAGCAGTTCTTGACTGAAGGGCCTCAAGCAATGCCTCTCTGCATAATCAGGGGAAAGCAAATCATAAAAAGAATTCCTTGTAAATGAAGGCGAATTTTTCTCTATTGTCAACCTAATGCTCTCGCTCAGGAAGTATTTCACAGGAAGTTAACACTCCCGCTGCAGGGGGGCCCTAGGTGTCTCCTGTCTGCAGGGAACAAACAGCTCACTTTCTGGAATCTGCCACAAGAGAAATCCTAACTTATAAATTTGTAATTCCTTCAATTCCTGAACAAGGGTTTTCTTTTCTTTTTTTTCCCTATAATTATATTTTATTAATTTTCATGAACATTTACAGAGATTTTGGGTTTCCATTCATTCACCGCTGCACCATTCTCTCTACCCTCCTCCCAGTTTGTTCTTGTCCAAATGCCACAGTGCTTGTCAAAGCCAGTTCTGATTAATCTTCTTTGTCAGTGTGTCCTTTGCCATTCCCTATCACTCCTCCCTGAGAGAGACTTCACCCTGAGTCATAAAGAAAAGGGGATGGCGTATTCTCTTAGCTACTTCCTGCTGAAAAGGGACGCTGTGGGTTTCAGGGTGAAGATCTTCTCTCACTACTCTAAAGGGCCCCTTTGGCAGTAGGAAACACATAGACTATTATGGAGATTGATTTTGGAATTTAGATGCACTTTTATTGATTGTGCTTGGCCGTACATGTTCATATCCTTGAAGATGTATCATGGGGGTGTTGCAACCTAGAAGACACAAATTTGAGTAACAAGTTATAAGTACATGAGTCAAAAATTATGGAAAAGTAAAAGAAAAGATTCTTTCATTTGAACAAGGGTTTTCATATAATATTTGCTATGAAGTTTGTCTTCCCATAGTGAGGATGGTTCAGCAGGTTTAGATTTGTTGTTCGTAAGGTTACTGTCAGTAGTTATTGACTCAGTGGCACACAACAACAGCATGGGGTTAGTAAGACTTAGTGGTAGAACTTTTAACCATTGTCATTTCAAAGTAAGGGTGAGTGAAAGGATATTTCAGAATACTTGCAGCAATTTTAGTACATCAAAATATCTGATTTCTCGTTACAGGGGACCAGAACGAAGACTGCATAGTGGAGTGGACTTTGGAGGGGGGGGGGGTTTATACCAATGAAAGAATTTTTCTTTTACTTTTCAAAGAGAAGATTGAATTTGAGGAGGGGGGAGCAAAACTGCAACAATGAATGAATGGAAACCCTAAGTCTCTGTAAACTTTCATTAAAATTAATAAAAACAAACAAA